CATCATGTTGGCTTCCTTGAGCCACACAAAATCAAGCTTCCTGGATCTGCTCAGCCTGGGAACTTTTCAGCACTTCACCCCAGTGGGCTCCAGGGTCCAGCGTCACCAAGCCGGGCCTTCATTCTTAGCCCCTCTCTACTCCATGGTTTCCTGTGAATGTTCTGACCCCTGTGCACCCTGCCACTGGTAGGGCCCATTCAGGCTGACCATTCAGGCTGAGTCAGCTGACCTGCCCCTTTACCTTCCATGTTACCCTCAGGTCTGTCTTAATCCATTGGCTCTCTCCCCTTTCCCACTCCCAGACATTACTATTTTTATGCTGGTCCAAATTGATGTTTAATTTTTATTCTCTGGGTTTATTTTATTCCTTAGTCTTTTGGATTTTGTCATCTTTTATTTCTTAAGTTTTTGTTATCTGTTCTCTACAGTAGTGTGGTAACACACACAAACACACATACACATATACACATACACACACACACACACACACACACATACACACAGGCATGCACACACACAATGGGCAAGTGTTTTACCACTCAGGTATACCTCCAAGCCCCCTTTTGTGATGCAAGGTCTTGCTATGTTGCCCAGATGGTTCTGACCTTTAGACAATAGTCTGCATCTCTGCAGCATACTTAATAAATGTTTAGGTCTCCTTTTATGCAACACCGTGCCCTTTCATTGGGCTCCCCTTGGGGTCAACCACAGGCCATCAAAGGTAGCACAGGTGATGGTCTGGGCCTTCTGCTGGGGCCTCAGTAGGAAAGAGGCTATTGAGAACTGCTTTGGTCAGGTCTAAGTCTCAGGCTGGACAGTGAGGGAGAGAAAAAGACAAACCAGGGGGAAGGAACTAGGAGACACACAGGAAGAACTATGGAGGGGGACCAAAAGCAGGAAGGAGGTGCAGGCCAGACCCTGTCTTGCAGAACTGAGAACTGGTTGTTCCTCCTCAGCTGGGAACCCAGGGCCTCAAAGGCCCGGTGGTGGACACCATGACTCACGGCCTATTGCTGGCTCCTGTCCTCACCCTTCAACATGGTCCCACAGGGTGCCCAGCTGACCTGAACATTCCCAGGCACCCTCACACTACCCCATTGTTTGGAGGCCCAGTGAGGACAGGGGTCTGGCCATGGGCCCTTGTGGAGAGGAAAGAGGCCCGGGTCTGGCCTTATTTCAGAAGTTTGGTCTAGTGTTTGACAGCCAGAAGAGGCCAGTCAGGGGAAAGAGGAGAATCTTCTCTCTATCCACCCAGTGGCCCAACCCTGTTTCCTTTCCAAGGCCAGGCCTCTTGTACCTGCTTTGAGACAGCCTACCTCAGCCACAGCACAAGGCTGCTTTTAAAGGTGACTGGATTCAGCCTCAGGATTCAAGGTCTTCATCTAGTACTATGACATCCTGGGCCCCTCTCACACTGTTCCCTGACCACCTGGTGCCATTAGTACCCACAAACTTACTCCTGGCCATCCAGTCAGGTGCCCCATGGTCAGGCTGTGTGACAATATCCTTAAGGCCCTCAGGCAGCAGAGGCAGGGAGGCTTCTGAAGATGGCAGGCCTCTAGTGGCTGTATATGTCTCACTGTTCCCTGAGTCTGGTTCTCCGAGTCCAGCCCTCCTTCAGAGGCCTTGACCACCACAGCCTCAGATCTATGTTAACCCCAAATCTTGTGCTTTCCTATCTGCACAGACTCCCTGTTCCCATGCCTAGCGTGGCAGCGCCTGGCTTAGTTACCTACCCCTTGGAGACTCCCACAGGTAATGTGGCTTCTGGTGGTCAGCAGAGCCCAGGTCTATGCTTCTAGAGTCAGCCTCTCTTTCTGGCTACAGACTGTCCATAGGGGCTGTAGCACAGCTCTGCCAGCGCAGCAGTCACAGCCTCAGGATGACAAGGCTGGCTCCTCCCTCCGGAGATAGAGCTGTCATCAGCAGCAAAGAGAACCCCAGCAGATAGACGTGGGGTGTATGGAGAAGGGGCTAGGCAGAGCCAGAAGCATTAGATCCAGTTCTTTCCAGCTTTGTTCCCTATCTCTGGGTTCCTTTGTAGAGCTTTACCCCTCTCTAGTTGCTTGACATCCTCACCCCAACCCCTCTATAGGCCTCCAGAGGTCTGCTGGTTTTTTGTTTTGGTTTTTTTTTTTTTGTTTTTTTGTTTGTTTTTTTGTTTGTTTTTGTTTTTCGAGACAGGGTTTCTCTGTGTAGTCCTGGCTGTCCTGGAACTCACTCTGTAGACCAGGCTGGCCTCAAACTCAGAAATCTGCCTGCCTCTGCCTTCCAAGTGCTGGGATTAAAGGTGTGCGGCACCACCGCCCGGCCAGAGGTCTGTTTTTTAATACCTTCTCCTCACTGATTTCTTCAGGGGATACTGCTGCACAGTGGGGGTACCAAGATGGTCTCCAGACCCCAAAGTGAGCTTTTATTTTTTTCCTCTTCAATCTTCTGAGACAGGATCTTACTATGTAGCCTCAGCTAACCTACAACTTGCTATGTAAATCAGATTGATCTCAGGCTTGTGGTCATCTGCCTGCTTTTCCCTTCCAAGGGTTAGGACTGTCTGTACCATCATGCCCAGCTCTGAGTGGTCCTTAAAAATAGAAACCAAAGGACAGTAAGGCACTTACCACACAAGCAGGAGGACGTGAGTTCCGATCCCCAGTCAACCACATAAACCGGGTAAGGCAGTGTATGTCCGTAATTCCAGCACTGGAGGATGGACAGAGACAGGAGGATTAGTGACCCCTGGTAACCAGCCAATTTACCCAAATTGGCAAGTTCCAGGTTCAGTGAGAAATCCAAAATACAGTGAAAAACAATTGAGGAAGATATCCAACATCATCAACCTTGGTCTTCTACGTGCATGCATACATATACGTACATGAAATAGATGTTCTGGTTGGTTGGTTGGTAGGTTAGGTTTTTGAAACCGGGTTTTTCTGAGATGCCCTGGTTGTTCTGAAACTCACTCGGTAGATCAGGCCAACCTCAAACTCATAGATCTGCCTGCCTCTACCTCCCAAGTGCTGGAATTAAAGGCATGTACCAGCACTCACTGCCTGACATATGTGCACATGAAGTCCTCTGTACAAAAACATATACACATGCAATCACACATACACACACATACACACACACACATACACACACACACACACACACACAAATCACAGAACACAACCTCAGTGCTCACAGGACCTACATTGGCCAGGAGCATTCCTTTCTCCCTGCCTCTGACCAGCAATCTTTTCCTGTACTCCACATGGTACCTTGTGTATCATTCTTGGATATCTTAAGTAGGCTGAGGCCTGGGAATCTCTTCCTGTCTCTCCAGACCCCAGCCCCAAAACAGCTGCTCCCATGATGCCCAGTGGGAAGTACCCTGATTGTGGAAGGAGTGTCTGAGGCAGAGCCCAGAGATGGGGGCAGGGGAATGTCCTTTCTCAACACTCTTCCTTCCTAGACAACTTCCTGTCTCTGGAGTGGGCACAGCCACCACGAACCACAGCACTTCACCCTCCTGGTTATATTTTTTGAGAAAATAGAAAGGTTGTTATCAAAGATCGAACTTTCCTGAAACTGAGCAGTGAGCTTGGGAACTCAGTGTTGACCTCAACCCTACTTTATGTGCGGTGGAACCAACAGCAGACTCCATAGCTGGCAAAACCAGGGCCAGGCCCCACCTTCCTGAGCAACTATAGCCTTGGGTCTGAAAGGGACGGGGCTCAGTTCTAGAGAAGTCTAGAAGGCAGCAGTAGCTCCCTGGAGCAGAAGTCCTAGCCCCGGCATGTGCTAGGCTCAGAAGCTGGAATGGGTTCCCTGGAACAGCGTGCTCACCCTACTGGAGCACTACACTCACCCTACTGGTAGAATTGGACAGACAAGCAAGAGGAAGTTTGGGCAGGAATTCACAGGGAAGGGAGGCCAGCCAGAGGCACAACACAAAAAGCTGAGACAAGTGGGTGCAGTTCAGAGATAGTGGCAACTCCAGCTTCAGGCTGAGGCCTAACTCTTAGTACCATTAGCTCTGGTCAGTGGGGAACTCTAGAGATCCTGACTCCAAATATGGAGGTCCTCAGGCCCTGCAGAGATCCAGTTTCCACTGAGTTACCACTATATATCCTAATGCTAGCAGTGGGCTGGCTTTCCCCTCACCATCACATACCTTCTATGTGTATGTGTGATGAGGCTAGACCTTCTATGTCTGCTCTTTTACAGAGAGAGTGGAAAGTGTCCAACTCACACAGCATGGTCTATAGGAGCCAGCTGCACCAACCCACCCCAGGCCACCATTTCTGTGTACCCAGAGGCCTCTGACAACAGAACATAGTGGCATTGGAGACTTGATCCCGTCCTTGCTCTGCCATGGTCAGACCCACGCAGCTGGCCACCTAACTCTTCCAGAAAAGGGCTCCCCTTCCAGGATTCAAACAGGAGGAGAAGCATCCAGGGTCAGTGCTGTTTCTGCTGTGCCTCCCCCGCTCAGTGCCTTGCTCTGTGTCCCTAAGGTATACTCCTTGCATCTGCCCACTCAGGACGCCAGGCTAGCTTTTCTAGATGCCAACCCACCCCACTCCCCTAATGCTTGTAAATCTCACTGTCTGCTGAGACCTCTTACAGGTGCCATCTCTTGGGGCGCAACACCTAAGAACCTTCTGGCAGGCAGCGTAGGGGAGACCAGGTTGACCCCAATGTTGGCCTCAGTGTGGATCTTCCTTCCTTTCTTTCTTTCTTTCTTTCTTTCTTTCTTTCTTTCTTTC